ACACCCACACCCACACCCACACCCACACCCACACCCACACCCCACCCTAGAATTCCAGTTGTTCGAAGAACTTTTCTAGTCTTCGTTCCAGATCAACACATTGTTCTGTTAATTTTAATCCGATTTGTCCCGTCAATACAGCTGCGAGATCATCAGCAAAAAAGAAGGACATTGCCCCGGGAATAAAATCCGCCATATCACTATGATAAGTAATGAATAACGTTGGTGTTAAACTAGAACCTTGCGGACCACCTCTGTTAATATTGATCCATCTCGATCTTTTACCTTGTATCTCGATTGTCGCTTGACGATCATTTAACCATGCTTGAATCCATTTGACATACATACTTGGAATTCCGATTCGAATCAACTTCCCCAGACATCCTTCAAACCAAAGTTGATCAAATGCAGATTTAAAATCAACGAAGACTGTCGCAACCGGCGAACTATTTGACATGTAAGATGACATTTGTTCAATGAGCAGTAGCACACGTGTTTGAAGTCTATTCCCAGCCCGAAAACCAGATTGATTATTAGGAAGAATGCCTCGGTCTTTAATACTTGTAGAAAACGATTGAGAAACAGTCTTTCTTGCGTTTTTAAAAAAGAGTCAAGCAACGAGATAGGTCTTGTTTGATCCGGAGTGCATATAGCATTTTTCTTAGCCAGTAGTACCATTCTTACTTCTTTAAATTTCTTCAATATGTAACCATTAGTGAAAGAATCATTGTACAACTTAACAAATAAGTGCCAATAATTTTTAGGGATTTTATCTAGCAGAAATGGTGAGAGTCCATGTATATCTAGCGATTGTTTCTTCTTTCTTGTACGTAGAACATTTAAAACTTCTGGATAAGTGACTAGTGGTATAAGTTCCGACACGTTTACACATTGTACAGTAGGGGCATCAACATATGGATGCGGACGAACGACCACCGGTGCTTCAAATAGTGTTTCATAATAATTTGCCGCTGTATCTACCATCGCTTGCGGGTCCTTTATTATTTCACCGTTCAGAAGTAAGAAACCTCTTAATGATGATGAAGCAGTTCGAAAATGTCTTTTGGTTTTACTCCAGAATACTCTCGAGCACTCACCAGGACAATGTCTTTCCTTTAACTGTTGTGTGAGATGAAACTGCTGATAACGTTTTAATTTGAAGCGAGCGATGTTCCTAAGACGACGAGCTTCCTGGCGTAGAAAGATATCTCCCTTCCGCTTTGCTTTGTACGATAGTGATCTACTTCGTGCTAGGAGTGTCATAAGTTCATGTGGTACCGACGGTCTGGCTCGCTTAAGTGGAAAGTATTGCGTACATCTTGCAGTAAGCGATACAATAAAAGATATAAATCGTTCATATGTAATATCATACGGTCCGGAGTTCCATTCTTTTTCCCAGAATGCATATGTATAAGAAAGCATTAGCGAAAAAACTGACCATATTATACGCGATCCTTCAAGCTTCAAAACTGTATCACATGCAAGCACCATAAGAAGAGGCTTATGATCACTAGAAGTGTCATCTTCAGATGTTTGAATTGATAGATTCATACCGGCTGCTAAGGCATAATCAATTGTACGATCCGATCGAAGAGATGTATTAGAATCTGGAACAAAAGGACCAAGAGAACATGTGTCTATCCATTCGAGTAAACGTTCAGCTTTATCACCATCCTTTTCGATATCGATGTTGAAATCACCTGTAATTATACAACGATTAGTGATAAATGATGATAAATCCACCCATTCCCAGGATTTGCTTGCTGGAGCGTAGATTGCTACAAGTCTAATTGTTTGTTCTGCCAGTAGATCAATTACACAGACGTTTGATAATGAGCATGAAATTCTCGTAGCTGGAATATCATTACGTATCAATACTAGAACACCACCGTGTGCATTTTCACCAGTTTGATAGAAGATTCGGTAGTTAGAGAATGCGGCACCCAATAGAGAGAGGTCGACATGTCCAACCTCACCAAGTACTATAATATCGAAACGATGTTTTTTCACCAGCAGGCAAACTTCCCCCCAACGTAGATCGAGACCACGAACATTAAAGCAGAGTAAATGCATATATGAATACGTTTGATTAACATGCGGTTTTTGGTAGGTTTTCCAATTTGACAGTAGATCATTTAATGATGAAGAGGCGTGCCAATCAATAAGAATTTCTGAAAACAGCTCCGAGTCCTTCGATGAAAGCGTATTGCGAGCATAATCTATAAACTGAGTTGCTTGAGTATCATGATTAAATTTGTCCTCGACTGTCTCTATCATTGTTTAGATTTCGAACGGGACGATCTAAATTCTTCTAGAAGATTGATTTGTTCTTGCCAATACGATTTCCAATTCGATCTTTGTGCAACTTGTGGGTCCAATATTGATGTACAAACGTTTTGCAATATTGTGTAGACTCTTATTGTTAAATTTTCAAAATTCTTTTCCATTGTTTTCACTTGATTGTCTAGCACTTCTACTTGCTGTTTTGTCTCTTCGCAACGATTTTTCATTTCTTCTTTTAGTTCTACGAGAGAGCGACGCGTTGCACTAGATTCTTCTTCCACTTTAACTAAAATGTTATCAAGTTTCTTTAATAAGACATCATTTACATTTGATGGCATCCCTTTAACTACCGAGGCATAAGAACCACCAAAAGTCGAACCGCCAATCGGGATATTGTTTGTAGTTGGTTGTAGATTTGTATATTCACTATTTTCTGAAATCGGTTTAGCTAAGAGATTACGAGTAAGTGCGGCACGATAGTCTTTTACCACTTTACATTTTGAATCATTTGAAATATGTGGTCCTGCGCAATGAATGCATTTTGGAATACCAGAGCATTGATGATCGTTCAGATTTGAACATTTTTCACCACATGTTTTGCACGTTGATTCATTCTTCTGTGTACAGTTCTTTCTGAAGTGCCCTATTCCGTAACAGTTGGAGCAAATCAATGCATTGGCTTGCGTAAAAAATTCGACTACTTTTAGTTTTAAGTGCATGACCGTGATTTCATTGGCTTCTAGTATTTCTTTGCGTAAACTAGTCGATAAAAATTCCAGTTTAACAGCGCGTACTGGCTGTTGTGCTTTATTTTTTAAACGTATAATGTCTGCAATACCAGGGTATTTTTCTTTTAATTCGTGTACGAAATCCTCCCAATCAATCTGTAAAGAGACAGCCGGTAGCACTAACGACAGCTGAGGCGGAATTGATGGACGTTTTGTTGTAAATTCGTGTCCAGCTAATGTTGTAGGCCAGTTGCCACGTTCATATAAGAATGAAAACGATTCACTGTTCTCGACGAAAACCAAAATACGACACTCGTTATTTTCTGAACGTCCACGCCGATAGGCTATCGTTTTTAACTCAAAATGAAAATTTTCCTTTGCATGTTTCATTAGATCATCGATAACGACTTTTTCCCTAACTTGATGCAAGAAGATTACCGAAAAAGGTGAGAACGGGAAGCGAGATGTAGCATATCGACAAGCAGCCATTGAAGGCTGTTGTTGGTCATATGTTGATTCTGCGATGTTTCTTCCTTCCATGATATTGTGATTTAATTGTTCTTGACGATTTTGTTCGTAACGATAAGGATACGAGTTTTCCTTTTGCTGCTGGTTGATTCCACAGTGACGCTTGTTAGGTGTATTACGAGCATTAAAAATACGAGTTGTCTGATAGTATTGAGGTCGTTCTTGCGCATTCGAATCCGAAACCCCACTGATGTCGTTGCGACCTCTCTTGGTAGTAGCAGACATTGGTGTTGAAGAAACAGTAGGATTAGTCATTGATGACGCAAACAAAACATTAGTATTAACCGGCGGATGATATGATGAAACTAACGCTTGTTGTGGATTCATGTTGGAATGTAACATCGCTTGTTGTACATACGCAGATGAAACGTTAATAGTTGATGGTACTTGTTGCTGATAAAGTTGATGTTGAGTTACCATATTATTTGGTGAATAATGATTAACGATTTGACTATTTGGTGTAGGTTGAACACATACATAAGATTGAGGCAAACTGTACGGTTGGTATATTACTGGAGCCGAGCCATAAGCAATTTGCTGTTCTTTCGATATTTCATGATTGGTGGTACATGTAGTATTATTTGACGTTGTAATCCGACACTGATTTTCATCAGCCATGTGAACTGTTTTCTGTTGTTCAGATATATTAAAAGAGTGTCCCTTTTAGAGGTGTAAGCCGTGCGGCTGAGCCGCCGTCGCCGCCGACAGACTCGAAAAATTTTAAGCCGCCGCCGCCGTGACAGTAGCAATTTTGGAAATTTTTAAGCCGTCGCCGCTGAGACACTTTAATTGCAGCCGCCGCGTCGCCGATGGTATTCAAAATTTTAAAATTTTCGAGCCGCCGCCGCCGCTGGCAACTAGCATAAATAAACGTTTTATTTATATTTTCTTTAATTCGGTACTTTGACATCTTAGAATCCCAATAAATCTCTTCTTCATTATCTTCCTCGTCTTCAACTTCACTTTCGTGCTGGTTCTTTGACCAGTCAGGTGCTTGGGGTTCTAAATTGTAAACAAACCCTTAATTCTGTGTTGGTTGAAAATTCTAAGTTATCATTTCAGTTGTTTATGTCTTTATATTAGATATATTAATAAATACAAGAAGAGACGAGCATTTTAAATTTTGATTAACAAAAACAAAATAAAAACAACAAACTTGAATACGCTAAGTGCCTTTACTTATTAACAATCGTGGTGGTGATTTTTCATTTATTATTTACCCTAGCAATTATATTTATTTTTAATTTTAGACTTTTTTTTTTATTATGTCTAGATGTGAATTAAAGTTTTTCCACATATGTGTTTGAAGATAAAAAGGCCGAGATATTGAAATAGGCCTTGTCTACACTAAAAATTTTGATGATAAATTAAGAAACATGATTGGTTAAACAGTTAATAAACATTTAAAACACTTTTATAAAGTGCATTAAATTTATTGCACTATTCAGAACCACATTAAAGTTGATGCACCAATCAAAGTCTGATTGGATCTTTCAATGAGCGATTCCTCTATGATTGAAGTGAACAAACACTACGATTCATTTCAAAGTCAAGGATTCTGATTGATGCATTAACTGACAAATGTAGACACGAATTGATTTAATACGAATTGAATACTGCATTATCCTCCTCGTGTAGACAAGGTTATAGACTAATTTATTTATGATAACGTAGTACTTTTTAAACTTCAAGCCGCCGCCGCTGAGACACTTTAATTACAGCCGCCGCGCCGCCGATGGTATTCGAAATTTTACAATTTTCGAGCCGCCGCCGCTGTGCAATCTTGAAATATCAAATCTGCGCCGCCGAGCATTTTAAAAAAATTTTAAAAAACTGGCGCCGCCGCCGATCAGCCTATCGGCTTACACCTCTAGTCCCTTTGGAGAGGACATTTGTCGCCAGAATCAAAAGTTACAAACTTAGATTCTGTGACCAAAAAAAAGCAGAAAAAAAAAAAAAAAAAAAGGAACGAAAATAGCAGAAAAGAAACAGACAAGAGCAGACGCGTCTTATCACTAGTAAAGCGAGTGAGGGAATGATTAGTGAGTCGATTTATTTTGTGTAATAACAAATTTATATTTGAAAGATCAAGTCTATGCTCTTTGGTTCTGAATTTTTCGGTTGTTTTTGATATCAAACAATTTTCGTTCGGCATTTTTTTGGTTTCATCACATTTAACTCTTACTTAATGGCTGTCGAAGTAGGATAATGACAAGTATCATTCAGTAAAAGACTGAAACAGGATAATTAGCATTTTATCTTGCCTTTGTTTTTAATAAAATAACA